TAGCTGCGAAACAATGAGGTTATGCTAAAAACTTTCTTTAGATACTCAAAAAGAGATAAAAGAAATAAGGTATAACTCACTGTTCAGCAATCCGAGCGTTTGTTTCTGTCTCCTCAAGCTTCATTTCAACTACTTTAAGCTCCCGAGAGGACTTTCAACAAACCGAAAATGGAGTGGAATAAGCTCAAGATGCACAATAAATAAATGAATGCAGGTAATTGACACAAAGTTGTTTAAAGCTGCAAGCATAACAAAAAAGCATTGCAGGTGAAATAATGTAATGCAATCTCATAACCAGAGCAGTACATATTTAGGGCAAATGCAACACATGCCAATTTGGAGGCTGAGCCAAGCAGGAGATCAGCATGCCAAGCTGCATTGAGAATGATACCTTTCCGCACTTTCTAGACGAGATTCAGCTCTTTCGAAATCAACCTCAGTTATTGCAAGTTTACGCGCGGCCTATTTAAATAAAGTAAAGAATGATGAGAAAATATGTTCAAGGCGAAATTCGAGAAATGTGAAAAATGCTTACTTCATCATACTTGCGATCAGCATCTTCAGCTATATACTTTGCCTCTTTCAACTGATCTTCCAGTTGACTCAGCCTCTCATCATCGGCAATCGACCTTGTCTCCAAGCATTTTCTGACTCTAATGATCAGAAACAAAGTAGTAAAATGAACATAGGGGGATTGCTCTGTTTATGAGAATAAGCATCTTAAGATCGAAAGATACCAAGCGGGGCCACTGGAGGTATTAGCACAAAATTACCTCATCAAATCGCTTTTTCCAATCCTCATGAGCTGTCAAAGCCATTTGATTAAGTGTTTCATTTTCTTTAAGTCTTGATTCATAAGCAGATAGAAAACCTTGAAGCTTGTGTCCCTCTCTAATATGTTTAAAGTGAGTTATTAGTTCATTGTTAGATTAATGTAAAAACCCATCTTAAAAATACGAAAAAAGCCCGGCCCGCACTAAAAGTACCTTTCGCTTTCATCTGCCGACTTGCTAGTCTCCTCCAGTTTGAACAATACTTCAGTGAGACGACTATTAGAGACCTCGAAATCCTCCTCAAGTAGCCTGATTCTTCGGGTCATGGCAGCAACTTCGGCTTCGGCCTGATTTAATAAAATAGGAAAATAGGATATTTCTAATGAAAGTATATACATGAGTTACAGAAAGACTAC